GTCTTGTGATATTATTTGTATAATGTTCCTTTCTCCACTATTTTCTGAAAGCTGAAAACTAGTATTATTCCTTTCCTAAAAATTTCTTAAAGAAAATTCACTACTGAAGCTATATGGGTCTGGACTTTATGAATATAGTATCATTAATAGATAAGGACTTAATTAGATTTTCTATAATTCCTTGGGTTACTTTGATAACATGCTGACTTTCAAGAAATGTGTTTCAGTTCATCTAAGTTGGTGAATTTATTGGCATAAATCTCTCTTCAACCTTTTGATGTCTGAAATATGTTAACTGTGCCCACTTTTTCATTCCATAAAGTATTTTTATCTTCTCTTACTCGTCTCCATCAGAATGGCTAAAAATAACACTATCCACTATAGCAACTAATAACTCAAAAATTACAACCAGTTGAAAAACATTTTTTAATTTCAGGTGCTTAAAAGCTTTGGCTAAACTTTTGGATGGAATGATTGAAGAACATTTTTTCCATATTTACAAAAAGTTCTATTGGACAGTGTTGGGTCACTTCCCACTGTGAACAACAACAACAAAAAACTTTTGATTTCCATTGATTTTCTCTACTTTTGATCTGCTTTCTATCATTGTTTATAGTTATTATTCTATGTATTCTGGGTCAATATTCCTTCCTGTAACTTTCTAGCATTAGTGCTTAGAACACTATTTGACCTTATATGTATTTTTTTACAATGCTATAATTTATAGCTATCTTTTGTAATGTTATATTTCCATTACTGCTCAAACCAAAATTTTCTCATGTTGCCTTTATAAAGTTATATATGTTATAGTTATTTTCAAAATTTTTGAGAATGACTCAGATGTCTTTTTGTTACTGATTTTATTTTAATTCCATTTTAGTCAGACAACATACTTTAAATGTTCAACATTAATGTGAACATTATGTGATGCCTGAGGTCAGAGACATTAAGACAGGTACTGTCAGCCAGGTGAGAGTGGGAAAATGCCCTCCTTTGACAACTGCTAGTCTTTCATCTTGTTATGATGAACAAATCACATTCTCCATTGTCCTGAGAATGAATAGGAGGCCATGTATGGGTTCAAATTTAAGCGAGACATTTCTAATCCACACTCCTCCTTTCTCTTACCTTCAAACATCTTATTCCTTCTCCTTACCAGCTACACTAATCTTTGTGGAAGTGGGGCTGAAGTTCATGCTCTTTAGGATTTGATATTTCCCCCCTTCACTAATTTTTTTTTCCTGCCAGATCTCAGAAAGAGTCACTAAGGAGAGGTAGGAGCATCAGAAATAAAAATGAACAGTGACAGTACTTTTTGTATCTTAATCTTGAAGGTCACACAATATTATTTCTGCCCCATTCCATTTTAGAATTAAGTCACTAAGTATAGCACATGCCTTTTGAAGAGAAGAATATCAAAATGTGTAGACGCACATTGAATTACCACAACAGTGTCACAATTTTTACCTTAAATATTCATTTAACCCTTAAATGAAGTAAAGGAATGAAAATATGTATAATAATTTTTTATGCATATTTACTTTTTCTGGTTTCTATTCCTTCCAATAGTTATTGGAGCAGCAAACTAAAAACCCATATCCAGGGCCCTCCCTGGTGGCACAACAGGTTAGGATGCAGCACTGCAAGCTGGCTGCAGCCACTTCAGTGCGAGCTCAATCCCGCCCCAGAGGTGATCCACATGGCATGTCAGACCTCTGCTGACCTGCCTGCTATTCCCCAGAGCATACTTCATCAATCTGCCTGCTCTGCTCCCTACTATCTCTGGTGAATTCTCTCACACCCCGCATCTCTGGCCTATACCCCTGTACTGTATGCATAAGTAAATAAACCTTTAAAAAAATTAAAATCCATATCCAAATCAAACCCACTGCCTGTTTTTATATGGCCTGTAACAATGTTTTTTACATTTTTAAATGGGGAAAAAAAAATGGAAACATTTTGTGGAAAATTTTTGTGACATTAAAACTTTATGAAATTTAAATTTGTCTACATTAAAGTTTTATTGGAACATACCCGTGCTAATCAATTTAGGTATTATCTATGACTATGTTCATAACAGAACTTAATTGGTTCAACAGACCATATAACCACGAAATTTAAAATACTGTTAAGCCCCTCACTATACATCCAAGTTACCATAATGTGTCATTTACTTTAGTCTACAGAATTTCCATTATCTTGTAGGCCACATATTATAGTAACAACTTCCCTGATTTTCTTTATCTGAAAACATCTTTAGTTTCATTTTTAAAGGACACTGTTTAAATGATAACTGGACAGTGTGGATAATACATCAGAGTAGCTCACTGGATTTTACTATGTTTGTCAAAAGACTGCTCATTTTTATTCTAACATTATCTGGATCCAGACTAAAAATGTAAATTTTCCAAGAAAGTTGTTTTTGGATTTTACTTTTTTAATTGTGATTTGGGGTTATCTTTCAGCCTCCATAGTTTTTAATGGGAAGCCAGTTGTTAATCATACCATTATCCCTTGTATTTAAGGTATCACATTTTCTTTTATCTGCTTTCAAGATTTTTTTCTTTATCTTTAATATCTAAAAAGTTTGCCTATTATGTACCTAACTGTGGTTCTTATTTTTATTTATTGTGTTTGGAGGTCACTGATCTTTTTGGACCTTTAAGCTAGTGTTTTTAACCAAATATGGTTTTTTAGCCACCATTTCTTTAAATATTTCTCTCCTCTTTCTCCTTCTTTTCTCCTTAAGGGATTCCAAATAAGGCAAGAATATTTGGCTCACCCACCCCCAACCCAACACACAGAGGATCTATGAATAGGTACAAACGATGCTCAGTCAAAAAAGCAGCAAATTTTGCAAGTAACACTAAGTACAGTGTGTCTTTTATTAAAGGTCATATTCTATTTGGTTTCTACTGCTCTTCTGCCAAGGTTCTTAACAATCTTTCGTATACTGTGCAGTCAGCCAGGTATGGTGGGAAGAATTCATACTAAAAGTTTATGTGTTGGCGCTTTGGCTGTTCAGTAAACTTCATGATTATCCTCCTAAATTATCCTCCTAATTGTATTCCAAGCTGCTGTCAGTTCAAGAAAGTATGACTGTTCTATTTTGCTTTAATCTCTGGACCTATGAAGTTAGGGAGCATCTTTGCAAAAACTCTCATTCACAATTCTTTCTCACTGCTTTACTTAGAGTATAAACTCTCCGCTGGTTTCTGCTTCTTTTGGTCTTCTCCCAAGCTTCCAAATAGTTTATAATTTTAAAAAATATTTCTACGTTTAATATTGTTATCTGTGGGAGATTTCAATCCCCTCACAAATTCACCATTATCTAACGATGGGAAATTTCTGGTTTTTAAAAATAATGTCAAATTGGCCCTCCCTGGTGGTGCAGCGGGTTAAGGCACAGCATTAAGAAGCTAAAGCTACTTCGGCATGAGTTCAATTCCTGCCTGCCCCGGAGGTGACCACATGGCGTGGCAGACCTCTCCTGACCAGACCTCTCCTGGCAGACCTCTCCTGACCGCTGCTCCCCCCAGCAGTGTGCTTCATCGATCTGCCTGTTCTGCTCCCCACTCTGTCTCTGGTGAAGCCTCTCACCGCCCCTGAGCCTCTGGCTTGTACCCCAGTTCTGTATGCACAAATAAATCAATCTTTAAAAAAAAAAATAATGTCAAAATGAGAGTCATAAAAATCAACAAAGTGAATAAAACACTTGCAAATATTTAAAAGTTAAACAGAATTCATTTAAGCTCAGAAAAGAAAAAAAGATTTGAAGACTGTTTTAAATAATGTTCCATGGATTGAAAGATTTATGTAAGGAAGATGAATGTCTACACCATTCAAAAACAAAAGCATTACTTAAGACAATATTTAAGGATGTCTTTTTTAGATGAAATACTTACCATAGGTCTTTCTAAAACACTATTTTAAATAATTTTTTAATGCATAATGGCAAAAGTAGAAGAAATAAAGAATCTACCTTTGTTTTTGAAATTCTACATATGTTCTCCTTTTACTAACAATTGGGTACTAACCCCATAAAATTTTAACTGTGTAACTGTAATATTAGCAAATTTAATCTGTTAAAAGTTAAGCACATAATATAAGGAGTTTAAGTCTATTATATGCAAATAGCAGTCAGGCTTTCCATATTCTGAAAGACCCCTTTTTTCTCAAAATAGCAATAAGCAAATCCCTGTAATCTCACAATAAGAGAAGAACCCATTTTCATACAAAACAAGTATTGCAAACAGAAAAGCAGGAGATGGAGACCAAGGGCACTTTGACACCGATTTTACTTCAAAAATTAAAAAGTAGGAATAAAAATATCTATCATGATTCTGTCACTGTTGTTTAAGCCAAAATAATGTGTTGGCTTTGCTTTTTTCGAGACATAGGAATATTTGATGAGAGAAGTGTAATCAAATTAAGTGGGTTTACCAATGACACACAAAAGCAGTGTTGCTGATAAAGATCCACTAGAATTAGAAAGGGGCAGAGAAAACTGTTGGCAGTGTTTAACTTGATTGTGGTGATAATTTCACAGGTGCATTTACCAAACTGTATGTTTTGCATACAGTTTATATCAGGTCTCAAAAAAATTAAAAAAAAAAACAGAAAATAAGGAAGGAAAAAAGTATTATTCAGGTTTACAAATCAATCACCTGGCTACTTTACAGACAAAAATGTAAACCAATTTAGAATCTGTAACCAAGTGTAATTAACAACTCAAGGGTCATGGGCAAATCAGAGAATCATTGAATCATTCAAGTTAAAAGAACAGGTAAGAATATTTAATTAAATATTTAATTAAGAAGAAAGATGTTTTGGCTTTAAGTTTCAGTAGAAATATTCTGAGGCTATTTGTAGTCATGTAATAGAATGGAAGTCACAATGACTATGTAATTCAGCTCACACCATGGTGTAGAATGCTCCTGGGTTACCATTTCCAAGTGGATATGAGACAACACAGAGTTTACTAGGATTTACAGCCTTACTGTACTTCTCTTCCTTGCACCTCTGCAGAATCTCTAAGCTCCTCTGGTGGACTGGGTGTTGGAGAAAGCTAAAACTATCCATACTTTTCAAAATTGCACATGGCGCTGTATCATCATGTCCTTAGGAAGCAAAAGAAAAACAAAAAAAATGGAGAAAGAAAAAGACATTATATAAACCCAAACCAATAGAGAGACTCAAGAACAATGCTGCCAACTATCTGAAAAACATATGAGTATATCAAGTATCAGGAGTTAAATGTGAGTGATTCTTCTATAGAAAAAAGGAAGGTAGTACTTTTTAAGAATTCACAGTGCTCTTTTCTGTATTCATTGTTGTAAGTTAATACCATCCTAAAAACTTCTAATTTAAAATCCTTTCTAGAAAAACTCAAAATTTGTGTAATTTAGATTTCTTTCTTTAATGAACTGATTTTTAATAGGTCTGAAATATAATTAGCATGGTTGGCAACAATGCAAGGAACACTGACGAAACCCCAAAGAAACATACACCCAACATAATTTAAACAATTTCACAAATCTTGCAACTAACCATATTTGCAGGAATTCCAACAAGTTTATCAATGTTGAAAGATAAGGAAGAAAGCATGATAGATTAATATTATTGAAACAGTGAGCAACTGCAGAAGAGATCAGTACTGTAAATATTAGTAATAAATGGATTTAAGAGCAAATACAGGTTTGGCAAGTTTCAGGGGAGTAGAATATTATTTACTAAGAGAACAGATTCAGTGAGGACATCGAGTATAAATTTATATGGGTTTGAGTTGAAAAAGAATAGTTTAACAACAAATACAAGCAAATTAAGCAACACATAAGAATAAACTCCTGTTCCATTAGTGCATATGTACTGCACAGTTAGGAATACATGTACTATTTATTGCTAGTTCTCAAGGGAGATCGTTTTAAATAAACAGAGTAAGTGAAGTTTGCAAAAGCACCTTTTAGTCAACTTGTAAGGCACTGGATCTCTATAAGCAGAGAATATGCATCTACATTTTAGTTAAGGAAATGGAATCTTTTGATATCACAACAGCAGATAAAAATATACAAAGAAATAGCAGGCTTTAGTAAGATACATATTCACTTTTATCATAGACAGTACTAAAAGTTATCTAACACTATCTTACTCATTGAATATGAACTGTCCATAGTTGCAAATGTTTTCAAAAAGATACATCATTTTTTAGTCAAAAGCTACCTCAATAAACTATTCTCATTGCTAAAAATAACTCCCACTTTGATAGGATGCTTAAGGAAAGAATGCTTGGAAATCAGACCAGTCTATACTTAGTTTGTTGGTGGTTGTCAGTTTTGGTTATCTCTGCAATGACCAACCTTTGGACTTACTTGTTTTTCCATTACTTTCTATATTTCACTTATTTTTGGCTCTACTCTTGTGTCCTTCCTATACTTGTATTATCTTTGTAGTTTTTTTTTTTTTTTCTAGAATCATAGAGGAGGAACATGAGGTTATTGGCCTTTTCTCCTTCTTTTATAATAAAAGTATACAAAGCTATATATTTCTCTTTATGCATTGTTCTAACTATATTCCATAAGTTTTGGTATCTATTTTCTTCCATTCATCTCAAACTATTTTCCAGTTTCACTGGAATTCTGCTTTGACCCACTGGTAATTTAAAACTATGTTGTTTAATTTCCACCATATGTATTAAGAAAATTGTTGTTTTATTCTTTCAATCCTGTCTTCTTTTGTACTGAAAAGATGTTTTATTTATTGTCATTATTTTCTCTTTTAAAATCGGTTATTTCTTAATTGTAATTAAAATTTTAACTTGTAATATAGTCTGGATTAAAAACACCTTAATTTCAATAGTCTATAAACTACCAAATGTAAAAAAAAATTACACTACTTTTTATATTTAATAGCATAGTTGCCTATAATGGTACTCTTTAATATTTCATGTGCTTTAAAGTTACTGTCTGGTGTCTTTTCATTTCAGTCAAAAGAACTTTGGTAATTTTGGGGAGGAAGATCTGCTAGTAACATTTGCTCAGTATTTGTTTACCCAACAATTTTAATTTCACTATCATTCTTGAAGGATAGCATCACTATCCTTATCAGTCTTCACTTACAGCTTTGCATGTGCTAGTCACTGTGCTCCAGCCTCAGTGATTTCTTTAATCTTTACAACTGATACTTTACATGTAACAAATCATTTCCTTGCTGCTTTCAATACTCTCTATCTCTGAAACTATGATGTATCTAAATTTCAATTGCTTTGAACTCACTAACCTTACAATTTGTTGAGCTTTGTGCATAAATAGATCAATTTTTCATCAAATTAAAGGAGTGTTAGCCATTATTCCCTGGAATATTATTTCTGTCCCTTTCTCTCCTTTACTTCTAAATTCACAAAATTAATATGTTTAGAGCGTCCAACTTGTTTAGAACCTCTGTTCAATTCTTTTAATTCTTTCTCTTTCTTGAGCTGAATAATCTCATCTGGTCTGTCTTCATCTTCACTGATTCTGCCTTCTCAAATCTTTTAGGGATTTTTAAACAGCACTTTTCTTCCCAATTAAAAATTTACATACACAGTTGCTCTCTGATGAGACATTTTCTCTTACTTGCCTTTGGTTCTTCAATCCTTCAGATTTGAACATATTTAAGTAGCTTAAAGACTATTTAGTCACTTCAGTATCTGACTAGACAATTCTCTCATCTCTGGATAACTTTAGGTTCTGAGTAAGTGATTCCTTTTTTCCTTATACATCCATCAGTTAACATTTTGTTCCTTTGCAAGCCTCAATTTTGTATAGAACTTTAGACACAGAACTCTGGGAATCAAATTTTCCCTTCTCTCAGGGGTTGCTATGTCTTATAATTGCTATTTGTTTAGGAATTTTCAGAACTAATTTTGTAAAGTTTGTGACACAAACTTTGTCACATTACCACATAAATCTCTGCTCAATAAGTTAGCCTGGTGACAGCTAATGACTGAAGGCAGATATTTTTACATGCCTAACACCAATAAATCTCCCAATCTTTGTCAAGTGGGGTACACCTTCAATACACAGTAAGGTAGCTTGCATCTCTTGCCTTGCTCTCACTTCCTGCCTGCACAGAGCCTGAAGTTATCCAGAGGTGAAAGATCAAGATCTTCTGAGGTATTTCCTGAATGTTCACAGAGCCAGGGCATGAACAGAGTCCTACACATGTACATGGTTATCTAGAGTCCCACGAATATGCAGCTTAATGAAGAAAAAGAAATGTCAGATAATTTCTTGAGAAAATTCAGGACTTTCTGTTTGACCATCAGAGTGATTTATTAGTGACTAGCTAAAAGTACATTGAAATTTTTTGTAATGTACTCTCAACAAAAAGTTAAAATCTACTATATCTCTGAAGATTGTATCTTCTTTCTTCATTATAAGTAATATCTTTAACCTCTTACTCTCATTTAAGATTTGAACTTGGTTACCTTCTGTCTTCCATATTGTCTGGTTCTGCTTAAAATAATCACTAATTTATGTTATACTCTGATACATGCTCCTATTATTTACAATCACTGTAAAAGTTCTAAATCTATTTTAATTTCCTTTCACAGTTATTCTGAAGGTTTTCACCTTGTGATGTTATACTATTCTAACTTTATGGTATTCTTTTACCCTAAACCCATGACAATAGGTGATGAGTGGTGTGCAGGGAGCAAAACTGTTCCCTTATGTATAGTATACCTACTATATATTCGTTATATATAGTATGACTATTATATACTCTCTTCCTGGAGATATAGATATAGATAGATATAGATAATTTCAATACCATATGTATTGAAATGCTGTGATACAAAATTTGTAATACAAATACTTATTCCCTGTAACAAATATGTTCAGTCATTGCCTCAAAATGCAAATGAACTACAGTTTTTCTTCATCTTCATTAAAACAGTGAAATCTAAAAAATTTATCCAAGCAGAACCTTAGAAGTTGGTAATCCTCTAGTTCTCCACCTAGGTGGTAGGCCCATGGGTATTTTCATCTGTATTACTTCATTGAAAATATAATACTTTCAGAAATATTGTACTGAGAAATACTGACAAAACATATATTTTGTTTGCATATATCCTTGAATAAGAGACTTTATTAGATGGAAGGTCTAAACTAGTCAGAAAGATAAACTATCTAGAAATTATGGAAGTAGAGATGATACAGGTCAACTTTTTGATCTTCAATAACAATGTCTATCATTGTACAAATTGATAATACATTTACAACTGACATTCACAGATAATATTTTAAATGTTTACAGCAATGGGAGTAACTTTTACAGAGAAATATATATATATTAGCAACAAGAAAAGCATCTTAGTTGTTTCTATCTTAGCGAGCATACTTACAATATTCAAACTGATGAATCCATTGTAATAAATAAGAACACATCTTAAAAGGAAAAGCTTTTCCTTAAGATTTTATACAAAGATAATCTTTTAGAAATAACTTTGCAAAAGGTAAAAAAGCAAGTTTTAAGATATTCTTTTTACTTCCCAAAATACTGTAATACTCCTTGTCTACGAAAACTAGAGTTTACTACTTATTATAATCTGAAATACAGAAATTAAGTTCAATTAGCTTTGGCCTCTCATTTTAGAAATATAATCTCCCAAATATATTTAATCATTTGAAATATTAAAAACTAAACTTAAAGTTATACTACTAGTACACATGCTAAAATCTATAAAAGTAAATCTGGGAGTCCTGGAGCATAGGTGTATCCTATTATATCTTGAAGTATTTCTGGGCAGAAAAAAAAATTATTTTAAGCAGTTACCTACATATTAGAAAATCTTCACTATGCAGAATGGTCTATCTAAGGGTAGAGCTACAACAAATAACACTGTAGTTTTCAGAAAGTAACAAGTGTTTATAAAGATGACATCCCACACAATGTAAAATGGGATGTTTTATTATTTGAGAGGTATAGAGAAAACATGTCCAACTCTATTTGTAAATTTCCAAGTAAAATCCAAAGAACTGAAGAAAGAGTAAGAGACACAAAACTGACTTCATAAATAGATATTTCACATTTGTTAGCTAACTTTACTTTTATAATTTTAAAGGTGTACTGATAGTTCAAGAAAAATTTTAATAGCAACATAATTTGTAATACATGATAGGTTATCTCTACTATACTACATACCTCCACCCTAAATTTTCTGTTGCCTGACTTTCTGCCATATAGCAAAGACAATGGCATAAGTAGAAAACAGAGAAAGATATCAATATTAAATTCTATGTAGTTAAATGATTATCATTTCACATTTAAAAAAATATTACCATTGTCTCACTGAGTGCCTGCTAATACCAGATTATTCCCATCTGTGTCTATTAATAAAAATGTACTAACACACACATCATATATTCACTTAGTCATATAAAATTCACTCAATTCATTAGCTTTAAAACACGTTGAGGTATAAGAAAATAAAACAACAAAATTATTATGTCTTTGCTCCTTGTAGAAAAATAGAGGCAAAAAATTAAAAGATAGAGCATAGTAGAATATTAGTATCTATTGCTTACCAGTTTTTTTCTGAACATGTCTTTTCCCAGCTTCCCTGAAAGCAACCATGGCTCTGAAAAAAGCCCGGAGAACAGCCCATCGGAAAACAGCTACAGGGTCAATTCCAATCATGCTAGAGATAAACGCACTCTTGCTGCTTCTCAGAAGAGCTACAATGTCTGGACGCATGTGATCTGTATTTTTTTCCCGGAAATCCTATATTAAAAAATTATCATTGTTATTTTTGGAAATAACATGATAATAATGGGTAATGTGTTTCAACAGTTAAAAAAGGACAAGAGAAAAGATTTCTGTTCTAAGTAGATAAATAAACCAGAGAACTGTTATAAATTTTCATCTAACACTAAAACTATTAAAACTTTTTCTACAATTAAATAAGAATGAGGGCCCTCCCTGGTGCGCAATGAGTTAAGCACAGCTCCCTGAAGCTAACCATAGCTGCTTCAGCATGAGTTCGATCCCCAGCCAGAGAGGTGACCCACATGGTGTGGCAGACCTCTCCTGACCTGCCCCTGCTGCTCCCCTCAGCAGTGTACCTTGTCAGTCTGCCTGTTCTGCTCTCTACTCTGTCTCTGGTGAAGCCTCTCACCGCCCCTGCGCCTCTAGCCTGTACCCCAGTTCTGTATGCATAAATAAATCTTTTTAAAAAAAATAAGAATGAATAGCCATAATTCTACTGCAGCTTATTAAACACTGGCTGGGTATCACAAAACATGACAAAAGAAATGAGTAACAAAAAGGAGCCAGATATAAGAAAACATTCCAAGCAAAACAGAATAGCTGCTCTCTATTAGAGAAGAGAAAAGCAATAGGACTGGTGTATTCTGAACAATGGTTGAGAATAGGGAAATAGTACACAAATAATAATCGGAAGTTTGAATTTTAAGTGTAAATGAAAGTCATTGCAGAGTAATGACATGAGCTAACTGCTATTTTAGAAACAACAGTGGTTGCTAGTAAAGGAATACATACAAAGAATGGAAACTATTACAACAGTGCAGGTAAGAGATGACAATGACTTGGATCATGTCGGTTGTGAACAATGAATAGGGAAAATTGTTATTTGGGATTTGTTTTGAGTTAAGGGCAAGGAATTCCTTTGTAGACTGAGAATGATAACAGAATGAGGAAATTAGGTTAATGTCTATATTCAGGTTTGAGTAATAAAGTGAATAAAAGTACTTGTACTAATATGAAGAAAACTAGAAAAAGGCTTGGGGATAAAAAATCAGAATCAAGAGATATGTTTGCTAAATGAATGTGAGGTGATGGTGATAACGATAATATCAAGTAACATTTATTGAGAAGTTACACTATGTGGCACACTTGGAAGCATTTTACATATTTTGTTAAACTCACTTCATCCTCCAACAATCCCTTGAGGTTAAATATCATTTATTTATTTTAAAGATGAGGAAATTCAATCACAGAGCTTGGTACATTTGCATACAGACATCAAGTGGTAGATTGATATATGTGTCTGAGTATGTAATCACATAAGCTTTCTTTCAGTTCAAGTTTGCATGATATATCCTTTCTCTTCACGCTACCTGATGTTATAGATGAATAGCCACAGACCAAAAAGTTTATGTTGTATGAATTTATTACCAATATTTAATAGCAAGTGAAACTAAGGCTAAAAATCAAGATAGAAGTTACCTTTAGATGGGGAAGAATAAACTGAGAAGGGGCATGAAAGAAATCTGCATACTTGAGATTATGCACTTCAAGCACCATAGTCTATGATTTTATAGATCAAGATCTTTTGCTTTAAACTATATTCTTTCAAAAAATTATTGACATATAAGTAATATTTAACATTGCACTTAAGGCTTACAATATGTTGATTTGATACATTTATATACATCAATGTAATTATCATCTTAGCATTAGCTAACACCTCCATCAGTATTTTAAACATTTATTTTGTAGAAGAACAGGGGTGCAGGCGAGAGGTATAAAGAATGAGAGGACTTACCAGACACAGAGTGGGAAAGAGGACAGATAGATTTACTGAAATACACTGAAGGAAGCATCAGGAGAGAGAGGTGAAGTCTGCTATGCTATATGTGAGCTCCCTGGCTGGGAATTGAATTCAGGTCTCAGTGGTGATAGCGGTGTGACTTAACCCCAAAGTTTCCAGGGAGGCCCTCCATCACTATTTTAATAATTTCTCTTTGATAATGGGAACATTGAAGATCTAGTCTCTTAACAGACTGTATTATATTTATAGGATTTGTTTGCTAAAATCACAATGTCTTGTATTATAGTTCCAGAATTTACTCATTTTCCAAATGCAAGCTTGCATCCTTTGTCCAACATCTCCTTTGTCCCCTCACTCCTCAGTACTGGTAACCACCATTCTATTCTCGGTTATTCTTAATGTTTTTGCTAAAATGTGCTCCTTCCTTCCAGGGAAAAGCACATCAAATTTATCCATCAGCTCCAGTCAAAAGTTACTTACCTTATTGGATCCATCAACAAGATCTTACTGATTGTACCTACAAAATCTATACCAGTCATTGTAAATGTCCTTCATTTCTAATGTCACCTCTATGGTTAGGATTACTTTAACATGTCACCCCTCAAATATTTTTAAAAGTGACCTAATTGATCTCCTCGCTTCTATTCTTACCCTGTTATTCCTTCTCCTCAAAGTAATCAAAGCAATCCTTCAAAAATACAAAGCTTAAATACACTTTATGGCTTCCAGTAACAACCTTCAATAAAAACCAAATTTCTTTAATTTGGTCTAGAGCCCTGAAGTATTAACTTCTTGACCACTGTCTCAATTCATTTCATGCTATCTCTCTTACTCACTACAAACTAGTAATACTGGTCTACAATTATTTCAACATATTAAGCTCTTTCCAATTTGATGGCCTAGAATTATTTCAGGTCAGTTCTCAAAATTTAAGTTTCTCAGAGAAATGTTCATGGATCTATAAATTCAAAATCTACTATCTTACAACTTTCTGTCACAGAACATATTTATTACATATAGCACATAGGCAATTTACTACATATACAAGCATATTTGTATATATATATATACATATATATATAGATATACACACACACATATGTATATAAGTAAATAGAAAGCCAGGATCATAATTCCAAATATCAAGCATAATCTCTCACATATACTATGCTAATAAATGCTTCCTGAATAAGTGTATTTATAAATGTATGAGTGAAGGAGCAAACAAATTAACTCTTGATGAGTATAAAATATAATGTTATTCTGCTCTTCATATCATCATAACTTTGCCCAGGAATCTTTTTTAAGTGGCAGGCTCACTTATATGTGGAATATATGTGAAAAATAAGAATGACAAAACTAAATTAAAACAAAACCTAAAAACTAAGCCAACTAGAGAAGGATGAGAATAAGGATGGGAAAAAGAGAGAGAGGGAGCCCAATGTAATTATGTGTGTTTGATCATGGGTGGGGAGTAAAATAAATGTGAAATAAATGAAATCTATTCCCTTGAATCACATACAGTGTTGTAAACAAATGTTACCACAATAAAGAATGTAAATAAAACTTAAAAAAGTAATGGGCTTATTTATGGAAAACAAGAAATGGAGAAAAATACTAAGGTTCTTTCCTACAGCGTTAAGAGTTGCAATACATTCATTAGGAGTGTAACCTCACAAATTCCTAATGGTTCATGAAAGCATTTAGATCTGCTGGAACTCATGTATATAAAGATCATATAAATTCAACAAAATAGATGAATTATTAGTGGGTTTGAATTGCTACTGATGATATCAATTCCTATAGATCTAAACATACTATTAGAATAGATAGTCAATGTCAGGTTTATATACAGGAGGAAACCAACAAAAACATCACCTAGGATTGCAATATACCAAAAGGTAGTCTTAATTTTAATAGTGTCTTTATAACTGTTACAGATCAAGAGTCTTTGAAACTACAAAAAAGGTAGTATAGCAAGGATAATAGTATAATTAAGAATACACTCTGCCCTGAAGACACAATGAGAAATTACTGACCTTTACCCCATATTTTACTTTTCCAGCATAATGCTTTATGATGAAAGCTGGCTCCATCACAGCTGGAAATTCAATGTAAGAATTATCTTCATGTTGATGTTTAAATTTGTCTAGCAATGTTTGATTTGTAGCTTGAGGAAAGCTGAATTAAAAAGGAAAAACACCAAAGAAAGATGTATGTTAATAGTCTTTTTTAAAAAGTTATCAACCTATTTAGCAATTTACAAAGAATTTTTACTTATATTACCTAATCCAATTCCCATAAACTAAAAAGTGAGCATAAGAATTCTCCAATTTTAGAGATGATATACCCAAACCCAAACTTTTCAAGTAGCAGAACTGAGAAATTCAGTTGGGTCTTTAGATATTTAGTGTAAGCCACATTTTGCTCTGCTGTAAAACCCAGAGTTGGATCTGGCCCCACACAACTAAAGCTCAAACTGCGCCCCCTGTTGTCTGGACACTGCCTAAGCCAGAAGGAATGATGCCTGTACATATGCATTGGTCTGATCTCTACCCTAATACTGAGTGAGGTGACTACTGGTAAGAAGTGGAATTTAGCAGCCATTTTGGGAGTCTTTACTAGAGAATGACAGATGTGGGCTCATTCTCTTTTTAGTAGGGGCTGCCAGCCAGCTTTATGATGCGCCTTCATCATGGAGGAAGAGCTTCACAGTGGTAAAGGTTAGAATAAATCACTTTTGTTTTTTTTCTGCGCCAAAGGCCTTGTTATTTATGTGTGTGGCTCCACTGGCTGTATCCATAGCCCAATGAGAGGTTCTGATCCTGTCACAGTTTTTAGATCCTTTGCCCAGTAACAACAGGATAATAAAAATTAGACTTGGGGGGGGGGGGACAATTCCAAAAAAGGAATTATTTCTCAATTTGGATAGGGCCTATAAATCCATACTCATTCTTTGCTTTCCTTTTTCTTCGTGTATAAGTATATAATTTTCTTACCTATACAGTTACTACATTTTAAGAACTATTATTTCAAATTGCATAAATGGGCTTGCACACATTGGTAAGCATTTCATAACCAGGAAACATTCAAGTAATATCTATTAAGAAGTATTTCCATGATAGCAAATGCAGGAATAGAAGAATTCAGAAGAGAGTAACATCACTAGTGGATGGAAATCATGGAAAGGTTCACAGCAAATACATAAAGTAATTATGAGCTAGATATTAAAGGCTGGGATGGAGATTCAAGTAGAGGGGAAAAAAATCACTAACAAAAAAAAAAAAAAGGAAAGAACACGTATCTTTCAAAGTATCATTTGAAGTAAAGTGATATGAAATTATAGAAGTTCTAAGAGCCAGGTCTAATTCCATAATTTTTTTAAAAAAAGCATTAATCACAAAGTATATGTTGGACCTTAAGGTACTCACTTTACGGATTAGGAAACCAATTCTTAATGAAGTTCAGCTAGTTTGCCCAGGGTTACACTTAGAAATGGTTATCTTAACTATAACTAAGGTCATCTCTTTCCTGATTATCACAGTGCTAGTAGAATTAAATAATACTTAAAAAAAAATCAAATGCTAGTATCCTATAGAAATGACAAAAATGTTATTAACCTACTTATGTTTTTAATACTACAATTTCACTAGTCACTCCAGTCTGCTTTTGCTTTCAAATACTACTCCTTCCTCAAAATAATCTCTACCATTAAAGCTCTTCTGCTTTCTAGAACTCTAAAGTCATTCTAGGCTGGATTACAGCTGACTCTCAAAAAATGTGGTGCTTAGGAATGCAAACATATATCCCTACCCACAACCCCAGCAACTGTACCATTCAAACAGCTGTTAAAAAGTCATACATAACTTTTGAGTCCCAAAAAAGGTAAGCTGAGCCACCCCTTGGTATCTGCAGGGAATTGGTTTCATCCCTTTCTGCCAATGTTCAGGCAAGAAAAGTGAACTTATCAAGGATATCAAGAGATTTTCCAATGATAGTTGGGTATAACCCTGAACTTCTGACTCTACAGATGGAGTATTACAGGAGATAAAACTTCAAATCACAAGCTTATTAGTTAGAAGTACCTGGAGGGTTTGAATCTCAAGTCCATTATTTACTACCTATATGATCTTTTTCTTGAATTGTTTAAACATTCTTGTTGTGGACCCTCCCTGGTGGTGCAACGGGTAAAGATGCAGCACTGCAAGCTAGCTGCAGCCACTTCAGTGTGGGTTCCATACCCAGCCAAGGAGGTTATCCACATGGCGCGGCAGACCTCTCCTGAACTGCACGCTACTCCCCTCAGCAATGCGCTTCCTCTATCTGCCTGTTCTGCTCCCCACTCTGTTTCTGGAGAATCCTCTCACGGCCCCTGCACCTCTGGCTTGTACCCCATTTCTGTATGCATAAGTAAATAAAAACCTTTAAAAAAATTCTTTTTGTTACCATATTATAATTCTAACAAAAAGAACAGTTGCATTTCAGTATCAACCACCTGTTTCTTAACATTAAATACTGAAATCACCTAGTAAGTTTTCCAAAATAAAACACAGTATTAATAACCATTAACCTTAAAATTCTCTTTTAAGAGATAATGTGTGTTTCAGAACATAAAAAGCAATACAAAACACTTTTACAAAATATTGGACAAAAGTAAGTTAATTTTTTGTGTTAACTGCCTTTTAATTCATTTAAAAATAGTGGAAATAATCTAAGAATAAGAGTCAGTAGATATAACTGCAAAAGTATTCTTTTCAATATAGTTCACACAATATCAGATTACATTTCTAATAATTTTGTGTTTATGATATATATTAGGGTGACATATAACTTATATACAAATGAGGTTATTGTGAGAATAAAGGTGATTCCATTAATTACTGGACAATAAAAATATTAGATATCCAATGCAAACTTGATAAATGTTACCCTACTTATAAAAGTAAATCACCAATATTTTCTGTCCTAGTTTAGTGGTTATAATAGTAAGCTAGAAATGGGTGATCCAACTTCTAAATATTTTACTAGCATCACAGAAAACCTACATATGCTCCCCATCACTTAGATTTCTCCAATTCTAGACTTACCATCACTAGGATAATTTAACTATGTTATATATATATATATGTACATACATATATATATATACACACACACATACATATATATACACATATAAGTAATACATATACATACATATATACATACATATGTATGTATATATGTGTGTGTGTGTATACATACATAAATGGTTTATTTATTTATGCATACAGAACTGGGGTATTGGCCAGAGGTGCGGAGGCATTGAGAGGCTTCACCCTAGACTGAGTGGGGAGTAGAACAGCCAGATCTATGAAATACACTGCTTAGGGGAGCAGGGTGGGTCAGGAGAGGTCTACCGCGCCATGTGGATCACCTCCAGGGCGGGGATCGAACTCATGCTGAAGGGGCTTTAGCTTCTCAGTGTTGTGCTTTAACCTGCTGCGCCACCAGGAGGGCGCTAACTGTAAATAATATTTTAAAGAGCACTGAAAGCAACCTGAAGAATGTCATGTGAAATTTTACTTCTGAAGCTTCTATTTAAGTTTGATAATACTGAACAGTATTAACAAGGGATGGGAAATAAGAGGTATATGTTGAAACTTCACCACCTGTACAGTTGTGTAGACCTCACTAATATATCATGCTGTTTTTTTCTTGCTAACTGTAAAACATACAAACATATCTCACATGAAAAACTTAAGAAGAAACAAACACAAAACAACCACAAAGATAAATATGCCATGAAATTAACATCAAAGTGACTCTGTGGAAGAAATCTGGAAAACTCAAGGAAAAAGTGAATTTAATAGTCTCTCCAATCTTTCTAGAAGTAAACAAATCTTTCTAGAAGTAAACAAATGTACAAAAGAAAGAACGAAAAGAACGAAAGAA